ATATCGTTAATCCCTTTATCCACACACATTTGTACCTTTAAAAAAATAATATTATGATTTAAAATATTAAAATAAATATAAAATATGAGTGGATAGAAAGGTTAGCGATATCTAATTAATTTATTTTTATAATATATTATACTCAATATATTATAAAATATGAACAATTTAAATTACCAAAATAGACCCTAAAATAAATCTACAGAGTCGCACAATAATGCCTGTTGTGCACCCACACAACAGGCACCCAACTCGAAGAAAAATTGGTGATCCTCATGCATCACTGATTTGACATTTTTTATTACTCTCTTTTTGCTTTAATGTTTTGTGTTTACAATATTATCTCTCTTTTTGCTTTAATGTTTTGTATTTACAATGTAATTCATAAAACTATGTAGAGTTGAATATGACCTATGTTCAAATTTTTCTTGTCTAAAATTGTAGATGTTTTTCTTTTTTTTAAAAAAAAAATATTATAGGTCTCAATTTTTTATTAAATAAATAATTAAATGTCTCACATAGGTATGAGGTTCACAAAATTACGGATCCTACATCCATGTGAGACATTTGTCATTTATTTAGAGGTTGTTTGGGGTGTCCAAATAAGTGCATTTTTTGACCTTTTAGACACAAAGTTGAGGAAAAAAATAGATTATTTGGGTTAACTTTTTGACTTTTTATGAAAAAATGTATATTAAAAAATTGTATAAATTAGTGTGTAGTAGAAGATTGGGAGTGTGAGTTGTACGACTGTCCATCTGCGCAGGGTGAATAGATGCTAAGAAGTAATTGTCTACTTTTCAGACATTGTATTGGATGGTGCTTTTCAGCTCATGGGGGCCATCACGAGTCCCGTTTTGATAATCTGAATCGTTCAATGTGTAGAACTCATCGAGTACTATATACCTGTAAAAAATCATGTTGATCAGATATCATAGCTATTTGATTAGATTTGTTTTTTTTCAACCGTTACCTATAACACCATCCATCTTTTAATGCAAAACTGATTTGATCATATAGTTATCGATATCCAATCAATGTGATTTTTTACAGACATATAGTACTCGACGAGTTCTATACATTGAACGGTTCAGATTATCAAAATGGGACCCGCGATGGGCCCCACAGGCAGGCTCGGCCCTGAGGGCAGGCAAAGAGGCCTGCACTTTGGGCCCCGAGATTTGGGCTGAAAATAAGGCCCCAAAATATTGATTTTGTGTTTTAGATATTAAAAAAAAAAAAATCCATATCATAAGTCCAATTGAACAAGGGCCAAAAAATAAAAAATAAAAAATAAAATATCATAATAGAGGCCCAATGAACATAGGCCAAAAACAAGAAACACATCATATATTACCCACCCTGAGGCTGAGAAGAATGAATTCATCACATGGGTCACTGAAAGAAACACATTTCTGTCTCTCGAATTGGACTGATCTCTCTCTTGCATTGGACTGATGAAGATGAAACTGCGTGAGTCTTCAGTCCTCTCCTCTCCTCCGTATTTGACGGACGCTGAGCATTAATAATTTGGGCATCAAAATCGTGAGTATCTCTCTCTCTCTCTCTCTCTCTTTCTCTCTCTCTCTATAGCGATCCTGGTTGTCCCTTTACTGTTCTGTTGTTTTCCGAACGCGGTTCCGTGGAGTTGGTAGGTGTACCTATCGTGTTGTCAACCTTTAAACTATTTTGTTTAAGTTTTAGAATGTGTTGGGCTTGGTTGTTACAGGTTAGTAGAGCTTTAGCTCCCATTATTGTTGTCCAGTTTTTGAATGGTCCGCTCGAGCGGGTCTTCTTGCGCTCGAGCGGGGTTTTCACAGTTTCAGTATTTCGTGCCTCTGCAAAACTTCTGCAGATGTTTTTCTACGCTCGAGCTGACTTCTTGTGCTCGAGCAGATCGCGCTCGAGCGGGCCTGTTAGCGCTCGAGCGGGTTGTACTTTTTTGGTGTAAGTTCTGGGAGGGAGAAATCTATGCTCGAGCGGACTGGTTTTCGCGCTCGAGCGGATGTACTTTAACCTTGTGTCTTGGCATGCTCGAGCGGGCCTTCTTGCGCTCGAGCGTACCTAGCTTTTTGTCCTTGACGCTCGAGCGTTGTGTTCTCCGCTCGAGCGGGAGAGTCGTATATCAGTTGACAGCTAGGCTATTTTAAATTACTTTTTTTACATTTCCTTTCTCTCTCTTACTTTCCCAAAACCGATTTTGAGAGCTCCTCACTCTAAAACCTAACTTCTCTCTAGGGTTTGATCTAGTATGAGTGTTTTCCTCACCTTGAGCCTTTGTAAAAAGTGTGTTGATCGTCGAGGGCTTCGTTTTGATCCGGGAATTGTGAGATTTGGAGCAACTTCGAGATTCTTCATCTTCTCCATTTGAGCTCCGAACTTGAGGTAGGGATTCTCCTTGTACCTTTTCAATACTCCGTCTATAGATAGACATGTGGTAGTTTTTTTTTTTGTATTGCATGAAAATGAAATCATGTTGGATTTGTTGAAAATCATGAGGTTGTACCTTGGGTTGGTTGTTGAATTTGGGTTTATTATCATTAGTTGTGGATTGGGCTAATTGGAGTGTTAATTAGCATGTTGTTGAAAGGAGAGGGAACCCTTGTTTTTATTAGACCTAATAAATTAATAAGAGGGGTTTTGATCTTTGGGCAAACACTTATGTATTTTGGGTCTTAAATGAGGTCATGGTTGTGAATTGTAGTTGATGGAGCCTTTTTGGTCAATATTGGGATAGAGGGAGGAAAACCCTAATTTAAGGATTATGACTTAATTTGCATAATTAATTCGGAATGGCTTTGGAAAGAATGTAGTGGATTAAAATAAGTTATGGCGTTATCGTCCATGGAATTGATTTTTGTGAAAACAAAAAGGGATGGGATCGGTTTTGTGGAAACAAAAGGGATGAAGTTAGTTTTGTAAAAGCAAAAGAAAGTGGAAATTCGTTTTGTGAAATGGGAAAGGTATTTTCTGAAATAAGTATAAACATTGTAATGTTGTATCTTGAGTGTTGAACACACACTTGTGGTGGTTGTATCTTTAACTACCTTGTTGATGTTGTTGTTGGGTTTTGTGATCTCGTGTTAATTGAGCCTGTTAGTAGATGTACAATATGCATGCGTCTAGAGGTTCTGTCCCTGGTCATCGGTGGAGGATGACGTGGTTGTGTTGAATTGTCGTGTATGCATTACACTTATGTGTTCATCTACTTTAACACATTGCTGGTATCTTGTTAGTTTATGTGTATGTAGTACACATGTTGGTTATGCCTTATTGTATTGTGGCTGTTGGTGTTATACCCTGCGCTGAGAATCAGAGGTACCGTTACCTTCCAGCTAGCGCCTGGAGAACTGACTGCGCTGAGAATCGAAGGCACCATGCCCTTCCAGCTAGCGCCTGGTAAACTGGTAGATTGTTGTGAGAAGTGTATCTTTGGCTTACTACGCATATAGCTAGTAGAGCAAAGTGTTGTTGTTATTGTTTCAGTGTATCTGGGAACATTGTGGATTGTGTTGGTTACAGTTTTGGAGGGCCGAGTTGCCTCATTGCTTTATTTTATGCATGTAGTTGAGTTTTTATCTCCTGTTTATAAAGGTATGCATGTGTAATTATGATTGAATTGGGAATGAACCAAAATTCCTTTTGTCTTTCGGTAACGTGAAGAAGATCAAACACTTTAGAAACATGTTTTGAAAAGGCACATCTCTAGTATGTGTGGAAAATGGAAGAGAGTAGTGGGCTTAGTGAATTTAATCCCTAAGGAATTGTTAATGTTATGAAAGATTGGGAACGGGGTTTAATGAAAAGAAAGGAGAATTGAATCGCCTATGGCGTTGACTGAAATGGTTATTTTCAAGAAAAGTTCATACATATATGTATATTTTGTATAAACTGACACATTACTAGTCTAGTATGAAATTGAGCATTCATGATCATAGCTATCTGTATGTTGTTATTGTTGAGGGCCATGTTGAGATCCCTACTGGACTTTATGTTCATCCCACGTTGTTCAATTTTTTTTTCAGGTGTTTAGCAGGATGTACTACAAGATTTGGGTCTTCTTATTTGTTGGCCACGGGGCCTCTTTGTTGTAGGCGGAACGCCATATATGTAAAAGGGTTGCACCTTTCATTTGATTAGTTAATGTTGTAAGCCTGAGGGCAATTTATTTATTATACCCATGTTGTATTTACTTGCATACGAATGAGAGTAATATTATTCACTTCTACGAGTTGAATGTATGAGTTTATTTCCACATGTTATCTCTGAAATGGAATTAAGTAAATGAAATTGGTAATACTTCGAGTAATAAAAAGTGGGGCGTGACTCTCTCTCTCTCTATATATATATATCACATTTAAATAGAGGAAGTTTTTGCCCTAATTTTTTCCCTGATTTGTTGCCCTAATTTTTCCCCGAATTTTCCTCCTAATTTCTTGCCCTATATAATTTGTTCTTTAAATTAGAAAATTACCTAATTTATGTGCTTTAGTGAAAGTCTATAATTTTTGTTATGCTCTAATTTTGAAAGTATATTATTTGCAGAGATCAGTGATTGTGAATTTGTGTGGATTTGTGATTATATAGAGTAATCATGCCTCCTATGAAGCATATTTCTGGATGTGAAAAAAGGAAAAAGAAGCAAAAAATAGAAAATTTTATTCAATCTCAATCAGGAGCGCTTGATAAATTTTTTGGTAGCAAGAAACAAATAGAAAGTTCATGTTTGGTTGATGAAGATTTGGTGATTGAAGAACTTAATCAATGTAATGAGAATGATAATGAAGATTTGGGTGTTGAAGAGCCTATTGAATGTTTGAATGAGAAAAACAATGAAGATTTGGTGAATAAGAAAGCCACTGAAAGTGAAGATTTTAACGTTGAATATGGACCTTTAAATATTAATGACCCAAGTAATTGGGACAAGATTGATCAGAATTTCAGAGATTTATTAGTTGAAAGAGGTCCTATAAGAAGTAATGTTGTCAATTTTCCTAGAGATGAAGGATAGACATTTCTCCTCTACATATTACATTCGAAATTTATCAAATGGAGAGAAGCAAGATAGGAAATGGCTGGCATATTCAAATGCTTCAAATAAAGTATTTTGCTTTTGGTTTAAGTTGTTTAAGGAAGATGGGAACAAGACTCAGTTGGCTACTAATGGATTTAAAGATTGGAAGAATCTAAGTAACAAGCTTAGAAGTCATGAAACTAGCAATGAGCACATTACTTGTATGAGCAAATGGATTGAATTGGAAAAAAGATTGCAAAAGAATGAAACAATTGATAAAGGTGTTCAAGAACAAATCAATAGGGAGAGAGAACATTGGAAAAATGTGTTCCTAAGGATAATTGTTGTTGTGAGAACTCTTGCTAAAAATAATTTAGCGTTTCGTGGAGACAATGAGAAGATTTATCAAGAAAGAAATGGAAATTTTTTAAGTTTAATTGAAATGATTATTCAATTTGATTCGGTAATGCAAGACCACCTTCATCGCATTGAAAGGAATGAAATTCATTACCATTATCCTTGTCACAAAATCCAAAATGAAGTGATACAGATGTTAGCGGGTGAGATCAAAAGTACAATTGTGAAAAGAATCAAAGAAGCGAAATATTTTTCAGTTATTCTTGATTGTACTCCAGATGTTAGTCATGAAGAACAAATGTCTCTTGTAATAAGATGTGTGGATGTTTCAACTAATCAAGTACAGGTGGAAGAGTTCTTTTTAGAATTTTTAAAGGTGGATGACACATTGGGATTGGGTCTTTTTAATGTACTTAAAGAGGTATTGTGCACACTCCAACTTGATATTGGTGATATAAGAGGGCAATGATATGATAATGGCTCTAACATGAAAGGGAAACACAAAGGTGTATAGAAAAGGCTACTTGAAAAATTCTAGAGCATTCTACACACCATGTGGTTGTCATATTCTTAACTTTGCACTTTGTGATATGGCTAATTCTTGTCCCAAAGCTATCTCTTTTTTGGAGTATTACAATGTATATATTTATTGTTTTCATCTTCTACAAAGCAGAGGAAAGTTTTCAAAGATCATGTGGAAGGTCTCACATTGAAGCCATTGTCACAAATAAGGTGGGAAAGTCGCGTTGAAAGTATTAAAGCAATAAGATATCAAGCTCCACAAATAAGAGATGCTTTAAATCATTTGGCAAATCTTGGTGAACCCCACAATACAAAGAGTGAAGCTGAGTCTTTAGCAAATTACGAAATTGAGAACTTTGAATTTTTGCTTGGCATGATTATTTGGCACAATTTATTGTTTGCAGTTAACTCAGTTAGCAAAATATTTCAAAGGGAAGACATGCATATTGATGTTGCTATAATTCAGTTAAAAAGACTCATTACCTTTCTTGAAAAGTATAGAGAAACTGAATTTTTGGATACCATGATTGAGGCAAAAGAAATTGCTACTCTAATGGAAATTGATCCAGTATTTTGTGAAAAGCGTGTCATTTGTAGAAAAAAGCAATTTGATGAGAATGTTAGTGAAGAGGTGACACCACTACTACAAAAATAGTTAAAGATCACACTTTGACAAAAGAAAATATCTCACTTTTATTGAAAGTGTAATAAAAAAAATTAGATTGATATTTTAATCACACTTAATTTGATTGAGTGTGATAATATTTGTTTTTTATGTCACTTTTCAATTAAGTGTGATTATGTATACATTTTTTTAATCACACATTCTAATTAAAGTGTGATTACATATATACTATTACTTTTTAATCACATTTTTTAAATAAGTGTGATTATATATATATTTTTTAATCACACATTCTAATTAAAGTGTGATTATTTATGTATTTTTTAATCGTACGTTCTAATTAAAGTGTGATTATATATACACTACTACTTTTTAATCACACTTTTTAAATGTGTGTGATTATATATATATATATATATATATTTTAATCATACATTCTAATTAAAGTGTGATTATTTATATATTTTTTAATCACACATTCTAATTAAAGTGTGATTATATATACACTATTACTTTTTAATCACACTTTTTAAATGAGTATGATTATATCACATTTTAACAAATGAAAATATCTCACTTTTATTAGAAATGTGATAAAAAAAAATTAGATTGATATTTTAATCACACTTGATTTGATTAAGTGTGATATTATTTATTTTTTATGTCACTTTTCAATTAAGTGTGATTGTATTTATATTTTTTAATCACACCTTCTAATTAACATGTGATTAATGATCACATAAAAAGAATTAAAAATATCTCACTTTTATTAGAAATGTGATTAAAAAAATTAAAATAATTTTTTAATCACACTTAATTTAATGAGTGAGATAATATTTTTTTTTAATCATACATTTTAAATAAGTGTGATTATATATATTTATTTTCATCATAGTTTCAGGTGTGGTTATATATAATTTTTCAATTTAATTTTTATATTAAATAATTATTCCCATATTATATATAAGCTCATGAAATTGCTTTGGTAGAGAGAGAAAGAGCTGGGCAATTTCTTTCTAGGGTTTCTTGCAGCTCTCCATCTCGCCTTTGCTGCTGATGGCCACTGATCAACGCGCCTCTCCATTTCCCCTCTTGCTCCTCCTCCTTTCCTTGCTGATCGACGTCGTCGCTGCTCTTGCTAGTCGCCGCCGTTGGCCTTTCCAGCGTTGCTTCTCCTCTCACCGTTGCTGCTTCTCTCTCTCTGGTTTATGTTTTCTCATTCATTGTAAGTTCTTCAATTCCTTCCCCAACCCCATGAACTTTTGATATGCTAGTTGACCTTAACCATCTGCACTGCACTCTTTGCAACCAATGAACCATTCAGTTTCACAAATAGTCAACTCTCTCTCTTTCCATCCTTCCCAAGTATTTATTCCCTTCAATTTTCTTCATATTTATTTGCTTTAGATTGCTTGAGAATTGTTTAAATTGCCTAATTTTTTTTTAAAAAAAAATTGCTTGATTGCTTCTGTTAATTGCTTCAGATTTGTTGATTTATAGCATTATTTATGTTGAAATTTCTGTTCAAAATTGGTAAAACAATTTCTGTTTTTTAAAAAATAATTATTTTAAACAGTTTGTTTTTGTAAACAAATTGTTGAAGGAGTTTGAAGGAAGATCAATCTTACACTTCTTAGCTTGTAATTCTGTATTTATTGGTGAAACTCTGTGTGGCAGATGAGCATAATATGGTATCACCCAATACATTTCTACCATTCTTTAAACAAAATAAAATAAAATAATAATGATATTAGGCATTTATAATAAGATCACAAACTGTGAGGGAAATGGATAAGTTTGCACATGTTAACTTCTTATGAGCAACCAATAACTTTGGTCATGCCTAGATTTTCTGTGGTAGCCCATCTGTGTTGCTAATTCAACATGCCTCTTAACATATTTTAATTTGATGTTAATTATATTATAAGCCAACCAAGAATTGCATAATTAAACTGTAATTTTTATGATAATAATTTTGTGAAATTGCATATTATAAGCCAACCAACGCACAACACTTTGTTATGATTAGCTTGCTTTCTTTTCATTGTCAGGTGAAAATAATGATTCCCTGCATAGTTCTTGTTGGCCCTATTGGTCTTTGTTTTGGATATATGAGGCAAGTACTATATGATGTAATTGCATTTTGATTTGTTAATAATTTTGGCGGTTATGCAATTCTTGTGCAAAGATCTAATAACCAAGTTTAATTCTTGCTCTCAGTGCAGAAGGAAATAACATCCTTCCCTCTGTTAGCCTTGTTTTCTCTAGCATGCTCATTATTGCTAGTGTAAGTTATCCTCCAACATTTTTGGCTACTCACTATTTTACCTTCCAAATTCTTATTTTAAATCTGAAAAATGATCTTAGTAGATAGAGAATCTTGTTGTGTTAACACTCAAGAATGTGAATGTAACTACTATCTAATCATTATTACAGTGCTTTACATATGCTTTTGCAAGGCAATTAAATGCTTTCCAGACTAGTGATATGTTATTTGGCATGTAAGAGACTCTGTTTAAATGCTGTATATAGTTGCAAACTATGTTCATGTTAATGTTTACTACTTTATTTAGGTGGAATTCTTATATCTTGTGGAGCTTCGCTCGGTGTTTTTCTACAGTGGGTTATCTAGGCTCTTTTCATTATCTTCTTTCTGTTATAGTGTTACATTATTCTTGTTCTATATTGTGAATGGACATGTCATGTGTGCTTTCAGGTCATAGTGCTTTGGAGAAGAGACTATTGTATGATTCCATTATCATGGATGAGCATTTTAAAGGACAAAGATGTGCATGCGGTTACTTTCTAACACCTTCTAGATATTAGGCATTTATATTGTTGTGAAGTTGATAGCATGCTTATTAAATCCAGTGGTGATTACTGAACATACTCTGGATTTTGATTATTGTCTCCAACATCATCTTCTTTTCTTTTGCTCAGTTCTTCTCCCTGCTGCTGCCTGCAACAATTAATCTGGCCTTTGTACACATTGCCTCTTTTACTGATCTTTGTTTTTCATCTCTTATTCTTGGTGCTACTGCTGGTCTCTCATGTAAGTAATTGTTGCTAGCTACTTTTACTGGTGCAAGTGTCATTTTGGACTTTAGTTGTGAGTTAGCTTTAGACATACTTCTATTGTGTCCGCTACTTTTGATTTTGGTGCAATGTTGTAATTTTTTTTTTCAATGTGACATTTTCTGAATTAAACAGAAAAATAGCAAGATATAATACACGATTCATATACAATTTGACAACTATTCCTTAGTAATTCTCATATAATTTGATGCAAAGCTGAAAGGATATGCAGTGCATATGAATTATTTTTTTGGGAGAATGGTAACACAGACAGGTGTATAGAATAGAAGTATGGAGCATATCATCATTCTGTTCTAATGAACTTTATACATTGAAACTTATATTACATTGTGCAATATTATCTGAGTGTATGGTTCAGATTTTGCACCAATATTATGTATACCAATTGGAACCTCGATTGTCCAATGTGCTGAGATGGAACTTGTTCTTCATTGTTGCTGTGTGTTCTTTCTGAATCAAATATTTAGTATGGTATGATGTCACAGTAGATATACTTACGATATCTTCCTAAAAAAGTGATAAAGTATGATCCATGTGTATGACTATCATTCATAGCAATCTTTAGGGTAAATTACAACGACACCCCCTCTATTTGTTTGAAATCACACTGTCACCCCCCATGTTCCTTGAAATCAACACAAGTCAAATCTATTTAGTTAAAATGTCAAATGACTTTTATACCCTCATATGCCTTGGTAAACATTTCACCTAATCTATCCATAAATACAACCATGTTTGTTTTCTTTCTTTTTTCAGAAAAAAAAAATTCATTTTTTTTTTTTGAAAAAGTAGAAACTAATTTAATAAAAATAAATATCAAAATATATTTAAAAAATTATTTATGGCCTCCCAAACATAAAATTATATAAAAATGGTCAATCTTTGTGTTGACATTAATGTTTCAAAAATGGATTTTCAAAAACTTTATTGATGTTAATTTATTCAGTGTTGATCTCATGTTCTTTAATGGTTTTGTCTGAAACAGACAGGGAATTTTCTGCGCATTGCCATTTTTAACATTAGTTACATAAGAGGCCTTTTTCCTGAGAAATATTTCAATGATAAGTCTGTTCCTGCCTTAAAATTATGAACAGAGATGAAGATCAAAAAGCTTACACCAATGGATGCAAAGTTTTGCAAACTAATTGATTGGATGGAGAAAGGCATGTAGGTTTTGCTGATATGATACTTTTGTACACTCAAATGTTCTTACACTCTTCTTAATTTGTTTGTTTTTCTTAATTTTTGTAGGTGTTTATGATGCATTGCAGAAGAAATACCTAAGGACACTGTTGTTCTGTGTTTGTAAAGGAGTGGAAGGTTCAATGATTGAGTAATATGCATGTAAGATTTTAAGAATAGCCTATCCCTTGGAACTATCAATGATTGCCAAGAAAATATGCAGAAGTAACTGTTAATGACTCTGCTCTATGGCAATGTGTCATGACCCAAACCCGGCCCTATGGGTTTAGCACCGTAACCGGCCAGTAATCCGAGATTGCCGAAGGCCTGCAGAACAGTAGTACAGTACAACAGAGTACAAGGCCTGGTGGAAGCCAATACAGTAAATGAATAATGTCCATTGAGCTGTGTCAGTCTGTATGCCAAAAAGATTTTTCATGTATTCACATACACAAACAGTACAGTCTATACAAAATTTACAGTCACACAGTACAGGGACCTAATCCCTTGATAACAGTACAGTAAACATTCAGTCTATACAAAACAGTAGACGGTATAGAAGGGGGAATTGTAAAACACCCCGAAGCCTTAACACGATAGGCTCGGAACCTCGCAGTGAGGCACAAAGGCTGGCTTGACAAAACTGGAGTCTAACCCACGCTCCTAGCTCCGATCTGGTGGCTGAGCACCATATATATGAGCAGTGAGCTAAAGCCCAGTGAATAACATAATGCGTAAAGAGGTTTAGAATGAATGTCCTTACGGTAATGAAAACAGTTCAATTCAATCAGTATTTCAGTTGTTCAGTACAGTAAACAGTCATATGTGGTACATCCATTAGCATAACAGTAACAGTAGGTCTTAAAAGACCAAACAGTAATGATGGCCATCAGTCAGTAAACAGTAGTGGCTCCACGAGGAAACCGACAGAGATCTCTGTAACAGTAACAGTAAACAGTAGGTGCTAAGGATGCCACAGCATAGTTCAGAAATAAAGGACATACATTCATTCAGTAATACCAGTTCAGTAAACAGTTCAGTTCAGTATTCAAAAGATAATTAGTTGAACATATCTTTACACAATTGTTACTCACAGAGTTTGGGCTACAGTATGCTACAGCGTGCCTCCCCAGTTGTCAACCCTACACAGTTCACAGGTTGAACACACACTAAGCTACACAGTTGGGAAAGATAACAACTTGATCCCTAATGCCTCGGTGTGTTCTGCATCTATATCCTCAACAAGATGCCTTAAACTAGGCCTAAGAATGCCTAGAATGGGATGAGGATGCAAAGATGCACATTTAAAAAGCAATTTCAGAAAACAGAGTCCCGCTCGAGCGCAAGTTTCCCCGCTCGAGCGGTCATGCAACAAAGGTACACGCTCGAGCGTAAACTTTCCCGCTCGAGCGTACTGTAAAAGTGCTGGATGGGTGAAATCTCCGCTCGACGCCCGCTCGAGCTTAAGACATGACTCCGCTCGAGCGCCTAGTTCTCCGCTCGAGCGGACTGTAAAACAGTGCAGAAATACTGGATGCTCGGATTCTACGCTCGAGCGGCGATTCCCCCGCTCGAGCGGAAGTGCAGAATCTGGAAATTCCAGATTGCACCTCCAAGCTCAAAACCAAGTTCAAAGGCATCAAAACCGATCCTCTTGGGCCCATTTTCTGGAAAACATTTATAAACACATAGAATAACATGTTTCAAAGCTCAATTTTAAGAAATCAAAGCCCAAAGGTGTTTAATTCAAACTCAATTTAAACCATATTTCAAGCACAAGATGAACATGCAAACATGCATGAATTCAAATCATTTTGAAGCTCCAATTTGATGCTCTAAGGAGCCAATTCTTTTCAAAACATGGTGAAGTCATGGACTTAAACATAATTATGAACATGCATGTAACATTTTGCCATGAAAACAACTCAAACATCTACAATTCAAACATGCATGCATGAAATGAAGCTATAATTCCACATTCTTGAACCAAATCATGACTTAGTTCTACAATGAAGTATGAATCATGCAAGAACTAGCTCAATAACCACAAGAAGAAGATGAGTTTCCTACCTTAGTCTTGTATTCAAGGTTTAGGAGTCTAAAGTAGCAATCTACCCTTCAAGTTCTTCAATTAGCAAGCAAAACTCAAGATGGAAGACAAGTTCTCTCACTCTCTCCCTCTCTTGGTCGGCTAGAGCAAGAAAAGGCTGAGGAAAATGTGTTATGTGGTCAAATGTAAGGCTCAAATATGTTATATTGAGTGGGCCACTAAGGATGGCAATTCTGTAATTAAGCCTAACTCTTTAATTAGCTTATTTAATCTAATTCAAGCATACCTAATCAGTTTTCAGATAAAAATACCATAAAATCACATTAATTATGACGATCATAGGACACCAATCGGTTTCTAATTCGGCCGTCGATAAGGCCTTCAATTAGCGGTTTAAACACAAAGACATGAACAGATAATTAATCAATCAAACAGATAGAATATGCAACACAATAGATATACTTGGCTAATTCAGTTTCAATTTCAGTCAGTCGGTTCAGTACTTTTAATCAGTTCAATCATCAGTCATAATCAATTCAGTTTAACGGTAATCGATGGTTATCGGTAATCAATCAGTCATTAATCAGTAAACAGTATGAGGGTTGTTACAGTCACAGTGTCTGCTACAACGGTCCGGCATTTTCAAAATTGCATCATTAAACTTCCTGAAATCATTGTGATTAAGTTTGTTAATTCAAATAGCCTTAATCATGATCCAAAATGGAGCCCTTTTCAACTGTTTAAAATGACCACCCCTTAATGGCGATGTTGTTACAAGCTTAACAATGCCCGCCATGTTTGAATGGAAATTAATCTATATAGGTGCACTACATGACGGCCTGCTAGTAGGATTAACACCTCGTTCACCAACTCCCTGCTGGATGACTTTCGATTTCTTGAACAATATGCGTCCTTGCATGTTAACATCCAGCCTATTTGGTTTCAAATCACATGCACCTTTAAGACGTTTTCATTCATATGAACACGTCCACGGACTCCTGCTAATGTCATCATCTGTAATAGCATAAATAACATATTAATTCGCTACCAATACAGAACATAACACACCATAACCAACACACCAACATACAAATTCCACAACGCATAAATACAAACAACATGCATGACACCCCGACCCCGAATAACTTTCAAAATCTTGGACAATCATTCATTCATTCAAAACATAGAGTAGCATTTCAAAAGACTAATCGTTTCATGTCATAATGTTCAGAAAATATTTAATATTGAATAGAGTCTCATTGAATAGTAAATGTGATTCCTCTATTTGTTTGAAATCACACTGTCACCCCCCTTGTTCCTTGAAATCAACACAAGTCAAATCTATTTAGTTAAAATGTCAAATGACTTTTATAGCCTCATATGCCTTGGTAAACATTTCACCTAATCTATCCATAAATACGACCATGTTTGTTTTCTTTCTTTTTTTCAGAAAAAAAAAAAAAATCAATTTTTTTTTTTTTGAAAAAGTAGAAACTAATTTAATAAAAATAAATATCAAAATATATTTAAAAAATTATTTATGGCCTCCCAAACATAAAATTATATAAAAATGGTCAGTCTTTGTGTTGACATTAATGTTTCAAAAATGGATATTCAAAAACTTTATTGATGTTAATTTATTCAGTGTTGATCTCATGTTCTTTAATGGTTTTGTCTGAAACAGACAGGGAATCTGCTGCGCATTGCCATTTTTAACATTAGTTACATCAGAGGCCTTTTTCCTGAGAAATATTTCAATGATAAGTCTGTTCCTGCCTTAGGTGAGCTTGTTATCATCAGATTTACTTCAAGTTTTCTATGAAATTTAAGTTCTCATTGGTGAATATATTTGAACAATCATGAAATTTTGAACAGAGATGAAGATCAAGAAGCTTACACCAATGGATGCAAAGTTTTGCAGACTAATTGATTGGATGGAGAAAGGCATGTAGATTTTGCTGATATGATACTTTTGTACACTCAAATGTTCTTACACTCTTCTTAATCTGTTTGTGTTTCTTAATTTTTGTAGGTGTTTATGATGCATTGCAGAAGAAATACCTAAGGACACTGTTGTTCTGTGTTTGTAAAGGAGTGGAAGGTTCAATGATTGAGGAATATGCATGTAAGATTTTAAGAATAGCCTATCCCTTGGAACTATCAATGATTGCCAAGAAAATATGCAGAAGTAACTGTTAATGACTCTGCTCTATGGCAATGTCTGTGCCAATCTTTTAGTATATGTAGATTTCCTTCGATGCATTATTAGATGAAAAATCTAGAAATTCACTAGATATTGATTTGTGATTATGTATCAATTTTAAGTAGAATATGACAATCCCAATCAAACAATCAAACAATCAAAACAAAGAAACACAACGATTTAACATGGAAAAAACCACAATTGGACACCTCCAACTGTGATCAAAAAACCACGGGCAACAGCCACAAGACAATCCACTAAGAAGAATAAAAGGAATTACACAGGTATACTCTCAATTACCTAGCGAATCCACAACGCCTAATTGAACCAACCTTTATGTGCCTCTTCCAACCCCATCTTCACCACGGAATTGTCTTTCTAATGAGCCACTCCTCCAAAAGCCAAGATTTTCGGATCAAAACGACGCCCTCAACGATCAACACAACTTTTACAAAGGCCGAAGAGAAGGAGGACACTCTAACTAGATCAAACCCTAGAGAGAAGGGAATACAATAGTTTTTCATGCAACAATACATTAATCCAACAACAAGTAAATAAACAAATAAATACCCCCAAGGGTTTACAAGTTTCCAAGGCTTGAGTTTGGTTACACAAAAACGGTTATTCAAGCCCACATACATACAGCCCTTGGCTTACACATAGAGTCACAGCAAAATGAGAGTATCGTACTCTCAACACACATTTCCTCCCCTTTAGTTAGGCGGCATCGCCACATCTTTTCCTGCACAAAAATCCCGTAGGGTGAGCATAAAGCCTAGTATGAAATCCTTAACAAAGTATATACATTTTATACAAGTCTCAAAAGATGAAATGAATATGCCATGCTATGCCCTTTTGAAAGAAAATCACATCTTCATCTTTGAAAACATGCTGTCCCCTGGACCCCCGCAAGCCCTCGGACCCGCGAGCCCTAGAAAATGCGGCGCTGCCCCGGACCCGCCAAGGGGCGCTGCCCCCTCGCCCCCCGCGAGCTGACCGGGCAGCTCGATCCCCGTCATAATCAGCGAAGTGGCAATCTTGAAAGCTTTATCATCACAAACTTCTCTGAAATGCTTGATTCGGGTTGAATTCGCATCTAACAACTCATAGCTTCACTGAAATAAAAATGCGAATAAAATTACAACTCAAAGGAGTTTTGTCAAACGGGATTGCCAAGAAATAAAACCTAACATTAGAATTAGTAAATAAATTTATATTTCTTCTGCTGCGGTTGCTTTCAGTTACTCTAATTCTGAAAGCTAAGAGGTTTCAATGAAGATCAATTGCACTGTGATTGATGATGCCACTGGTGCTAGAAAGGTCTGTACACCTTATCATTTTTATATAATTTCTCTTTCATGTTTCTAAGAATCTAATATATATGTTCAGCTTTTTTGCGAATGTCTACACTAGCAGTGGTAGTTGACTTATTTTCTTTTTTAGATTCTTCTGGATTTCTGACATGTCCTGATAATTTTAAGTACACTACTTTGTTGTGCAAACATTTTACCAATTATCCATGTAGTACAATACTTTGTTTTTCTTTCTCTCTCATGCCAGTTTTTTTTCTCTTGATTTTTCATAGTTTTTCTCTTTTTTCTGTCCTTCATTTATTTTCTATTCAAACCTGACCGAAAGAAATGTCATATTTGTTTCACATTATTGAATTAGCAGACATTCACTGATGTAGATGTTGTTGGGTGTGGATTAGACTGCTATAGCCACATCTGGTGCATTTGTTTTCTTAGATTTCTTGCTAACTGCTTGTTTAAGCTTATTAATTTTGAAGTTTATAATTTGGCTTGTTTGATCTAATGTACAGGTATTTAGTGATGCTGTGGTACAACTCTTTTTCTTCTTTTATTATTATTATTATTTTAACATCTCTGATTATATTCCTTATATAGTTATAGCCTTATAACTCCTCTCTTTTCTTTTTCTTTTTTTTTTCTCCTCTTTTTTTCTTTTTCTTTTTCTCCTTTTGCAATGATGCTAAAACATGTCTTGTTTCTCATATTTTTTGATGAATTATGAGGACTTTTGCCACATTGCCTATTTGTGTACAGAACAAATAGGCCCTTAATGTCGACGCTTTTTCAGTTCGTCAAACTTCATGAAGTTTGAGAAAGATGAGTCGGGAAGAATTGCCATCCTGCCATTTTTCCTTTATGTCATGCGTATGGTGGGTCTTGCTTTTCTATGCATAACAATGTCTTGTTTTCTGTACGTGTCTAACATGTGTAATTAGATAGTCACCCATAAAGTGTATTAAGTAATTTGAGTTAATAAGGCCTGTTAATACCAAGGTGCCTAATTATTGCAAAAAATTATTATAGTAATTTTTTCTTTGATAAGTAACAACAGTAAAATGAGTAACACAAGTATATAGGAAAATAGAAACTTAACCACCACCACCACCACCACCAATAGCATAAACTTCATATGCAAAAGAAAGGATTCAGAACAATAGATAAACAAAAAGTGACTGGTGTGAACTTTAACATAAAGACAACAGGCAACATAGCATACAAATTTTATCGTTTTACATGTAGTTGGTGACATTAACAGCTGTCATTAAGCCACTTTGTTCTGAATTGATTCCCAAGGGTGTGTGCTTTGCTCTGAAACTTGATTGATTTTGGGATTTGATTGTGTGTTGTTTATTCGAGGAAGAAAAATAGAAAATGAATAAGAGAGCATGATCCTTCTTGTAACAAAATATCTCTGATAAATTACAACATTAATAAGTTGCCCATCCATTCCAAATATTTTTTATATTATTGGTTTTACTTATGTCAAATAGAATATTGAAATATAGAAGTTGGAGAAAAGATGAGAGCATCTGCAATGGAGTGGCTAAAAATGTGTTTTATTGAGAATCAGTTTGATGTGGTTGTGATTCATGTGATGATTGTCAACACTTATACTATGCTCCTTGTGACAAGTTTTGATGAACTTAACAAATGACAACCCTGTGTGCTGTCAGCAAATTGCTGCCAGTGGAGGACGGGGGAAACCTTGTCTTCATTGATTGCTGGCCATTTTCCATCATTCAGTTCATCTTTGCCTCCCTTCAGCGATATAAGAAATGTTACCTTGTTGTCCAAGTCTTAAGACATTTGAAAGGGTGTGATCGGTCGGACTTTATCTTTTGTAATACTAGAACAATCTCTACAAATAGTTAGTTTATTCATATGCTTCTAGCGGTTTTTGAATTAATTTTTATTTTCATTTTTCAGGTTAGAAATTCTTGGAGAGATGCAAAATATGGTCAAAAAATTCAAGAACTTAGTTTTTTAAGTTTTTTCATTTTTTAATATATGTAAGCATGGTTTAAAACTTTTTATTTAATTCATTTGTATATACTTTTGAACATATTTAATTTTCATTTATGAAATATATGACGTTATTCTATTCAATATGTGGTTGTGATTCAAATTATAGCATATAGTGTGTATTACATTCTTGAAATGCGCGTATAAAATAATATTGATTATTCTTCAAATATGTCGATTTTTTTTATTACAGGTTTTATTAGTTATTAGTCACACTTAAAATGTGTGATCTAAATGTTATTAATCACACTTAAAAGGTGTGATCTAAATGTTTTTAATCACACTTTAAAACTGTAATCTAAATGTTTTTAATCACACTTAAAAGGTGTAATCTAAATATTTTTAATCACACTTTAAAGATGTGATGAAAGCATTTTTTAATGACACCTAAAAAGTGTGATTAAAAATGACCCATTTTAATCACACTCCGAAAGACCACACTTTAATAAAACTTAAAAGGTGTGATTAAAAAACATACATCACACAAAAAAAGTGTGATCTTTATCTGTATTTGTAGTAGTGCACAGACTGCTGAAGAATCTTCTAGAGTTAATTACTTTATGTATATAATTGATCAAGCTCTTTCTTCACTTAAGAGTAGGTTTGAACAATTTCAAATATATGAGGAAAATTTTGGATTTTTGTTTGATTTGAAAAAGTTTAGTTCTACCAACAAGGAATGTTTGAAGACTTATTGTGTTAATCTTGAAGATTTTCTGAAACATGATGAACTTTCTGATATTGATAGGAGAGATCTATTTTCAAAATTGAATGTCTTGAAAGAAGTTTTACCGGAAGAAATCAAAAGGCCAATTGAAGTATTAAATTATTTAAAAACAATGGATGGTTGTTTCCCAAATGCGTGGATTGTGTATAGAATTTTGTTAACTATACCTGTTACAGTGGCCTCTGGAGAAAGAAGTTTTTCAAAGTTGAAATTAATCAAATCTTATCTTCGGTCAACTATATCACAAGAAAGATTGAATGGGTTAGCTTTGTTATCCATTTAAATATGATGGATAAATTCGATTATGCAAGCTTCATTAGTGATTTTGCAGTTAAAAATATGAGAAGAGTAATGTTTATGTGATAGTTGGTTCAATTGTAAACTGGATATTGCTAAATTATAAACCAACAAAATCAGATTTTTAGTTTTTTGAGTATTTGTAATGATTACTTTCTATCTTAATATATGAAATAAATTTTTGTTTATAATTTTAATGATTATATATGCAAGTAAATTTTTTTTTATAACTACAAACAAATAAAAAAGTTATTGTAACTTATCTTTTATCCATTAACTTTTTTTTTTTTTTTTCAATGTAAGAAAAACCCCATTTCTGAAGGTTGTCTTGGCCCTCTAAATCTCAGGGTTGGCCCTGCCCACAGGCCGAACATCAGTGTGTTAAAATTGCACTCCAGCTGTGCAATTTTTCTTAAGAAACGCAGTACAGATCTGATTAGTTCAGATTGATGAGTTGTAATTTTGTGTGTAAAATTAATTTTTTAATATTTTTTTTGGTGAATAGTAATAACTTTTTAACTTTTTGACTAACTTTTTGACTTTTTGTGTTTTTTAGGGCATCCCAAACTTGTCCTTAGTAAAAAAGTTGATATCCCTAGCATTATCATTTTTTAAGGATAAATTACAAATGCATCCTCTTACGTTTGCCTAAAATACGAATTGTTCATTTTAGTTTGAAAAATTACAAATATCTCCCTATCAGAATTTTTTATTTAACAGAATTAATTGATAAAGTAAAATTTTTAATTGTTCACCTATATAATAATAAAATTATCTTAATTATTAATTGAAATAAAATTTTAACATTATTAAAAACCATTAATTAACTTGATGATTTATTAAGAAAATAACATATTTGTTATGAAATTAAAAATCTTGGGAGATATAATATAATTTCTAAAACTACAGAAATAATTTATAGTTTGGGTAAATTACACTGACACCCCCTGAGGTTTATGTTTATTACAGTTCCCCCCTCACCTTTTGGAAATTACATTTCCCCCCCGAGGTTTAAAGTTTCATTATAGATTTCCCCCTCAACCCTTTTAATTTTTTTAAATACCAATTTTACCCTCATTTGGTAAATTACATTGACACCCCTCACCTTTTAGAAATTACAATCCCCTCCCTAAGGTTTAAGGTAGCATTACCAATTGCCCCCTCGGCTAGTATTAGTTAGAAAAAAAATTAATTGGAAAAAAATTAATGGAAAAAAAAAATTTGTTAGTAAAATTTTTAAATTTTTGTTTAAAAACCAACGTAAACTCATTTTTTGAATTTACGTTTTTTTCTCAAATTTACAAACTGAGACAACCATTTATAAACCAAAAAATTATCAAACAAATTTTTATGACAGTTTTTAAAATTTTTGTAAATATAAATTGAAAACTGAAAATGAAATGGTTACCAAACAGGTCTCAGATGGTAAAAATATTGTAAAATTAACAAATAATCAAATAAGTTACCAACGTAAGAAATGATTAATCAAATGATTCTTAGGCTATGTATGGTTTGATTTTTAAATTTTTTTAAATTAAAAATTAATTTGGTTAAGAAATAAAAAATAAAAAAATAATTTTCATTTCGTTTAAGAAATGGACTAAGAATATTTTGATAAGTCATTTCTTACGTTGGTAACTTATTTAATTATTTGTTTATTTTACGACATCTTTACCATCTGAGACTTGTTTGGTAACCATTTCGTTTTTAGTTTTCAATTTATATTTACAAAAATTTTAAAAACTGTCATAAAAACTTGTTTGATACTTTTTTTGGTTTATAAATAGTTATCTCAGTTTGTAAATTTGAGAAAAAAATAAATTCAAAAAATAAGTTTACGTTGGTTTTTAAACAAAAATTTAAAAATTTTGGTAACAAATTTCTTTTTTCAATTAAATTTTTTTTTCAATTAATTTTTTTACAATTAATTTTCTTTTTCAACTAATATTAACCGATGGGACAATTGGTAATGCTACTTTAAACCTTAGGGAGGGGATTGTAATTTTTAAAATGTGAGCGGTGTCAATGTAATTTATCTAATGAGGGTAAAATTGATATTTAAAAAAATTAAAAGGGCTGAGGGGAGAATCTGTAATGAAACTTTAAACCTCAAGGGGGAGATGTAAATTTCAAAAAATGAGAGAGGAAATTGTAATAAACATAAACCTTAGGGAGTGTTATTGTAATTTACCCTTATAATTTAAATAAATTTCAAAACAGAAATGACTTGAACCCCTAATGGGGTGACCCCACCACCCCACTATTTTTTAATTGGCTTAAAATTATTTATTTATTTATTTATTTTTATCTTATTTTCACAATCTCTCACGTAGAGGTGGGGGTATTGGGAGTCCCCCTGACGGTCCCAGCAGTGTTGATCTCAGAAATGTGTATGTAATTTATCTTCTTTTATTTTTTATTTTTTTTTTAAGGAAACTTGCGTCTAGGTCTGGTCCACTCTTCGGACTGAAACCTCCAGTGTACAAAACTGTCGGTCTACTCTGAACAGTTTTACTTGATTCAGTAAAACGAATATCAGTGGTGACCTGATGGGATCAAATTTATCTTTAAAAATAGACCCACTTTTGCCCAACACATTAGATTTTAGAAAATGTCATGGCTCTTAAATTTTTTATTAAATTTGTTAAATAAATGATTAAATATTTTACATGGAGGTGAAATTTATAAAAGTATAAGTTTTATATCTATGTGAGAAATTTAGTTATTTATTTGATAAAAAATTTAATATTCCTAACATTACCCATAATTTTAGATCAAAAGTGTATCGGTTAACACTGTTAACTATATATGTAAAATGACTATAATACCCTTAAATCTTAGCCTTATTTGCTATTTTCTTTCTATTTTCTACCTCATACATATAATTTATAATTTTTAACATTAATTCAATTAAATCATAATTAATTATAAATTCTTTGTTATTTATTGTAATTCATTTTTATTTTAATTATATTTTAAATCACAATTAATCCTAAATTATTAATTATTTATTATAATTCTAAAATTTTAATTTTAATTTAATTTAATTATATTTTGGATCATAATTAATCATAAATTCTTAATTATTTATTTCAATTCCTAACATATCAATCTAATTTTAATTTAATTATATTTCAGATCAATCATTAATTAACATTTATTTTCTGTTTTTATGTAATTGTATTTTAAATCAACCCTTAATTATATTTTATATTTTAGATCAATCTTTAATTATATTTTAATTTATTTTATTTTAATTAACATATTAATATAATTTTAGGTTTGGAAAAAAATGAGGATAAAATTGTCTTTTTGTTGTATTAATTTCACTTTATTTTTTCATAATACTAAACCAACTCTCAAAAGTAGTGTGTGTGATACACTTTTCGTTAGTTTAGATAGAAAACTAAAGGCAGCATTTTAGTCTAAAATCACATGGGAGTATGGTTATTAGAATCCTGATCTGGATAGTAAAATCTTAAGATTTTACGACTTTAGTTGGGCTAAGCGATTTGGATCGCATTAGGATCTTAAATTCAATATTATGATCCTAATCATAAAATCGTGTAGAATCACATTACAATCCCGATCTTACTATTTTATTATTATTATTTGTTTCTTATATATGAATGTATATGTGTGTGTTTATGTTTGTATAAGAAATTTGACTATAAACCCTCTCTCTCTCTCTCCAAACTTATGTTATAATTTATATAAAAAATGCATTATATCAAATTTATTATTTTTCTTTAATGATTTTAAAATTATTTTAGATACATGGCTATGGATAATTTCTCATTTTATTTTACATTGAAAGTAGAATCTTGCAATTCTCGATCTGATTTTACAATCCAATCCACAAGTCTCTCTTAACGATTTTACCTAGGATCCCGATTTTAACAACATTACATAATGGATTTTTGATTATATTTAAATCATAAGGGAGTGAAGTGCTACATGCTCAAACTACAAGGGCATAAAATAAATTTAACCGTATGTTTTAATCCTCACTGATTTGGACAATTATCTTCAACTGAACCACATTAGTTGAAATTAAAAACTCTATAGAGAAAATACATAAAACTAATAATTTTAAAATGAAATTTAAAAAAAATGACAATTGTAACGCCCTCAAAATTATACAATAAATACAACCCAAGAGCATGTATATATATAACAGCGTAAATCAGAGTATTAGTCCTTTCACTACATAAAGTTAATGATACAAAAGAGTTTAACATAAATAAATGCCCTTTGGGCTTACACCTTTCCAAGTATTGACTTGGTTACAACAAAAGGAGACTAGCTCATACAAATTTAGCCTTAGGCTATACAAAAAAATAATAATAATAAAACAAAACGAGAAGCACTTGCTTCTCAAAGATCTCTCCAATGCTATTGCCTTGGTGGGGGCATGCCATCATTACCTAGAAATATTTTTCCCAAATAAGGTGAGCCACAACCCAGTAGGCATAATCTAACACAGTATAGGAGATTTAACGAAGATACAGGTGAAATGTGCAAATACAATGCCCTGAATAAAACATTTATACTTTTTGTATTGCCATAAAATACCAATTTCTTATTCGTCATACTTTCCTCCAATTCATTTCAATATATATATATATATATATATAAATCGATTTCATTATTCCTCAATAACCCAAATAAGACTACAACTCAAAGGTTCATCAATTTCACAATTTACACATAAATACTTCAAACTGCCATTTTACGGATATTTCGTCCGCGGGATCGGCACCCATGTATAAATTTTGAGACTTTCACCCAGGATACTCCGGGCTAACTTTATTATAATGGAGTCCATTCGCTTTCTCTTCCCAAACAATCATACGTATGCAATGTATTTAAACACATAATCACACATATGGAGTACATCCCCTTTCTCCTCCCAAATAATCATACATATACAATATATGCATAACAAGATCACATTCAATGATAATCAACTATGGATTAGTTTCAATTTACCTAATCCATATGCAATTTCTACAACAATCAAAGCTATCTTCCACCGATAGTCCAATACAGGTATTTCTAAACAG